TCATCCTTGCGGCTCTCTTGGTTTCAGCGCACAAGAGAAAAGGTCACGCTCCAAAACAACATCCTAAATGGAGCATTTTCAGAAATTATCTGGAGCACAAAGTTCCCAGGCAGCTGCAACCCGTCCAGCCAGGTCAGCGGTAACTGTCACAAGCACCCACACCCAGGAGCATCCTACCCTCGGAGCTGCACCGAAGAACCCTCTCCTCCACAGGGTGAGGTTCTGCTCTGCAAAGCCCAGCCCCCCAGCACCCACTGGCCGTGTGCATCGGGCCCGCCCGACAGCCCCACACAGCTCAGAGCTGTGACAACACTGGGCCACACCCAGGACGACCCAAGGGTTTAAGGAAAGCAGGTGCATGCCCAGTGGGTGTTCCGAACCTTGTCTGCAAGAAGCTGGGACCATCTGCCTTTGATAATGGCAGAACTGAGACCTTCTCACTGGTCTCTGTAATATGGAGGCACGTCTATCGGGGGACACGCATGTGACAGGCAGACGGCGCCTGAGTTTGGACTTTGAACTCGGGGAGCTAACGAGTACCCACCGACGTGATGATGATGCCATGGAAGGTCTTGTCGTTCTCCAGTTTCTCCAGGCTGATGAGTAGCTCGGTCAGAAACTCTAGGCTGAGGCTATTCACTGGGGGGTTCCTCATCTTCACCACAGCGACCCCTAGTGTGAACAAGAAGAGGGGAGGGCTCACAGCCAGTCTGGGGAAAGCACACCCAGCCAGCCTGCACCCTCAGCCCGGCCATGGCCAGCGACACGGTTCTTGTGTTTTCAGAGCAGGTGAGACCCTGGCTGGACGTAAATTCACCATTTAAAAGTGGACAGTTCGGGACTGTTAGGTACCCACAGTGTCGCACAACCACCATGATCTAGTTGCAGAGCATGTCTATCCAAAAGAGGGCCCTGTGCCCATCAGCAGTCACCACCCCTCTCCGGCCCCTTGCAAGCGATCGTCTACTTTCCATCTCTATGGACTTGTCTATGCTGGACATTTCACATGAAAGGAAGCATCCAATCTGCGACCTTTGCTGTGGCTTCTTTCACCGAGCCCCGTGTTCTCAAGGCTGAGCCGAGCTGCAGTGTGGGGACCACGTTCTGTGCACCCATGCACATGCTGGGGGACACCTGGGTTGGTTCCACCTTTTGGCTCTTGTGAATCACGCTGCTGTGAACATTTGTGCGCAAAGTTTTGTTGATCCTTTTCTCCCAGATGCAAGTGCTCCGTCCCCAAGGGATGAGGAAATGGCCTCCGTTTCTTGAGGAGTGAGTGAGCAAACTCTAAGACCAGATGTGCAAGGAGGAACTCCCTTTGGGTGCTCTGGTTCATGCTTGTTTAAGGACAGAGGCTACAAACATCGGCGGCCTGAGGTTCTCCAACTCTCCCTGGTGTGCTCACGAGTCCTGCCAGCACCCGGGGCAGGGCGGCTGGGGCCATGGGTGCTCACTGCCTGCCCGAGGACAGACCCCAAGGGCTGCAGAAATGCCCCCATTCACATTTCTCTGGTCAGGACCTTACAAATCTCCGGATGGTCAACACAATTCTCTAGGGGTGACAACTAAGTCCTGAAGGCAAATGGGCTCTTTGGAGACCTCTGATTTCCAAGAAAGAAGTACTTATTAACTGGCTAGCGGCAGTTTGTGTGCACAACAAACGTTTTCCAGAAGCAAGCTTCTGAAGTTGGTTCAGACTCAAGTTTCTGAGGCTGACTGGATTTTTTTTTTTTTTGAGAGTGTGCAGGAGTGTGCGTGGGTGGGGAGCTGGGGGGGGCGAGGAGGTGTAGGGATTCAAGCACCCAGAGAGACAAAATCTGACTTGTCTGTGCCTCCCTGGATGAGACTAACTGAAAAGCAGAGGAGTGCCTGGAACGCTGGGCCTCCTTCGAAGTTTCCTGGCTGAACGCGGGCGGATTCTTACTGCAGCTCAAGGTTCTCATCCAGGGAGTCAGGGTTTCAAACACAGGCACCTGCAGTGATCACATACTGCACGAACTCCTTGCCGTGCACGGCCGTCCCGAGCCCCGCGGCTCCTGTCACGTGCTGCCCCACAGATGACCGTCCTGATCGTTAAAACTACGCCTTCCTTCTTGTTTTGCTCTTGCACGTGGTGTATCGATAAAACACAGTAACAGTGGAGACACAGCTTGGTCCGAGACCTTTCACCACTACAGTGTCTGGTCCCCTTGCCCTCTGCTTTCTCCTGCTTTGGTGTCTGGAGTCATCTTTTCATTCGCCATCTCAGGGTTTGCTGGACAAGCCCGACAGGGAGGGGCAGCGGGAGAGACTCCATGCCCAGCAGGGAGCCCAGCGTGGAGCCTGAGTCGGGGCTCGATCCCAGGACTCTGAGATCACGACCGGTGCTGAAATCGAGGAGTTGGGCGCTTAACCTGCGGAGGCACCAGGCATCCCGAGGCTGACTGGATTTTTACAGGCCTGGTCCAGCAGAATCGAGGGCACTGAGGGAAAGGTCAGTAGGCCAAAGATGAACATGAGTTAAGGAAGAGGACTTTGGGTGACCCTGATGTCACGGGGGAAACAGCCCCATCCCTGACCGGGGGCAGGTTGACTCAGCTGTCTGGGGCAGGGAGGGAGGCTGAGGCTGCAACCTGGCGTCCCACACACAGCAGGAGGCTTCTGTCAAAAGGCTGAGGCCTAAAGCTAGGCCACCAGACAGCATGCCCTAAAACCTGGACGCCGGCCCATCTCTGATGACAAGCCTTCTCATGCCTCAGCTCGGGAGCTCTCTCAGGTAGAGGAAACATAGGTTTCTGTTTTGACAGTTCTTTTTCCACCTTTTCTGTCCCCTTTGCAGAGTTTTAAGAGCTGCTCTGATGGGAACTGGGGGGAGGGGGGGTGTTAGCAATGATCACACTCTGGCTCCTGGCTTTAATTAGTAAAATACCTTCTAAGTTCTGTGCCATGCTGGAATATTAAAAAAAGGAAAAGAAAAAAAAAATTTATTCCAAAATACTTCCAAGTATTTTCAACTTCCTTTTTTTTTTCTTAGATTTTATTTACTTGATACACAGAGAGAGTGCACAAGCTGGGGGCAGAGGGAGAGGGAGAAGCAGACTCCTGGCTGAGCAGGGAGCCCGATGTGGGGCTGGATCCCAGGACGGTGGGATCATGACCTGAGCTGAAGGCAGACGCTTAACTGACTGAGCCCCCCAGGCGCCCTTCAACTTCCAATAGTTTAGATAAAGGGGCATACCCCTCAAACTTTACAAACCCAAACCTTTGAACCTTCACAATGAATTGGGGTAGGGGCGCCTGCGGGGCTCAATCGGTTGAGCGTAGGACTCTTGGTTTCGCTCAGGTCATGGTCTGGAAGTCGTGGGATCCAGCTCTGCGGGGAGTCGGCTTGGGACTCTCTCCCCCTCTGCCCACCCCCCACCCCCGCCCATGCGCACGCTCTCTCTAAAACGAATGGATAAAAACTGGGTTAAAACCGCACTTAAACCACCTGGACTGAGGACCCTTAAGCTTTGAATCCAACAGGCATGGTCTTCAATACCGGGCTTTATCTCGGCCTGTGGGCGTCCAGAGGCTCCCGGGAGCCGGGGACGAGAGTCCGGGCACTGCGCGGCACCGCGAGACCGCGCCCTCCCCACCCTGCACGGCTGCACGGCGGGAAACCGCGGGAGGCTGCCCCGCGCTGGTCCGGGCCTGCGGCCCCGGGCGCGCTTACCTGCCGCCGGGTCCGGCTCCACCAGCACCCGCGGGCTCCTGAAGCACCGCACGCCGTCCCCGC